GTGTGCAGACAGTTGCACCTTTTGTGCACTGTAAGGTCCCTGAATGGCCCCCCCGGGGACCCAAAAGGACCACGAAAAGGGTTTACGTTTCTTCGCCCCCCTGTTTGTCGCCTCCCCATGCAGCAACGCCCAAGAAATCCCAACCGCATGGTTTCGGAGCAGGTGGCAGAGCGACGTCCTGCTCACGCTCGCCAGGGAAGTTGAGACAGCTGGGGTGCATGTTCTGGGCAAACTGGCAGAGCGGCGCTGTGCCTAGGCGTTCCACGGGGGCTCGGGAACCCCAAGGTTGCCAGATTTCGCTGGCGCTGATTCGCAGGGCGCCGTTGTGCTGGTGTGCGCCAAGAAAGTGCAAGCATTTTGGGTCAATGTTTGCGGAGCAGTTGGCCGAACGGTGCTCTGCCAATGTCCGCCGGGGCAGTCCAGAAATCTGGGGCGCATCGTTTTGGGCCAATCTTCAGGGCGGCGCTTTGCGCTTTGCTACTGCACGCATGGGAAGTTGGGAATTGACGTTGTGAGCATCTTGAAGAGCAGTTAGTTAAGCAGTGGCGAAGCATCCTGGCTCGCCTATAGCCCTACCAGACAATGTTCTAAGAACCTTTTGTGGTTTCCACGAAATGATCTTAGAACATTTCTGGTTGATATTGTCTTGTTTTAACACATCGGGCTGATGTTCTAAGAACGTTGTTTTTGTTCTCAGAACATGTGTGGGTTCTAAGAACATTTCGTGGTAGGACTACAGGAATGCCGGGGGTCGGTCCCTGCTCAAGTCAGACTGCCTAGCCCAGAGAACTCGCATAGACCTGAGGACACTCCACTCAGTACCTCGCCGCACGGTGGCCTACTCGTGCCTGCGTGACGAGCCTTTTGACCAGCTGCTGGCTGGCACGACGCTTGGGCCTCCTAAAGAGGTTCGGCCGACGCGTGTAACGGGACCGTTCGGTAGAGAATGGTCGGATCTCTCAGGAAGGACGCACGTTTGGGAAGGCACATCTGTGCCCGCCATCATGAGCCACACCGTGGCTTGATCCAGGTCGGCACACATCGGTCCTGATCAACCCAGCTCGAGTCTCCAAAGAAACGGGTGCACAGGACAAGTGGGGTGCACACGGTCACGAGAGGCGAACGCGTCCATATCCAAGCCCTCACGGTCTGGATTCCAGGGCTCGATCTCGTGGATACGCGGTCGCACAGTTGCATTCCGCGCGCGGCAGCTGCGAAAATGCGCTCGTGTCCACGAGGTCGCCGCCAAGGGGCCTGGCCCGCGAGGCATTGGATAAACATACGATGCTTTCGGCCCACGGCATATGGAGTTCCCCGCGTCGAGTGATAGAGGAAACCGCCACCTTCTGAAGCAACTCTTGCCTTCTTAGAATGTTGCCCCCGTACCCCGCCCCCTGTAGCTTGCCGCCAAGAAGCGCTGGTGGCTGTGACGAGCGGTCAAAGGATGCAACTTGCGGGCGCCAGCTTCGTTAAGTTTTTCGTTATTTTCAGCCGCTGGGCGGTATGTAATGCTGGCATAGGCCGCACAATGCGCCTGATTCCTCGCCAATGCGGGACCAAGGAATCGCCATAGGACGGCGGAGGAGTCTCTATAGTTTTTAAGTATGCGGTGCGCAGTCTGAGGTCAACAGACCACAGATGTGCAGCTGGTTGGCGCCCCACACTGCGCACTGCCAGCCCAGTTGCGAGCGTCGTGAGTTTTGGGGGTGTCTTGCGAACGCTAGTAATACAGTATGTTAAATGTTTTAGTGGTTTTGCAGAAGTCCTTCTCGTGGTCCGAGTGAGCACGATGCCGGCTGGCATCTCGCTGGCGCTGCCCAGGAGAAACGGTGTCAGCTTGTAGTTCGCTCGTTTCCATTCGCATCAGCTTGCGAGCAGCAGGAAGAGGAGTAGCAGTATCTGTAGGCGCGTGTTTGGGCTAGTGGCAGGGATAGTAAGGGGTGCGGTGGTCGATGTCTAAGTCGAGGTCGAGATCGACGTGCGAGTGATGACTCGGACAAGCGTGATCAGAAAATGGGAGCGAATCAGAAGTAGGAGGAATCTCAGAGGAGGAAGGGGAGGGAGGGAATGAGGGAGGAAGGGAGGGAGGGAGGGAGGGGGGGGAGCATTTCTGCCTGGGAGCCGTGCCGCGCACAGATCGTGCGCACTTCAACGTGCAGCAGAGCTCAAGCCTGGAGTGGGGGGATTCCACACATGCTGTGCCGGCACGATCGAAACCGGCACGGAGAGGCTGGGGACGAGGGCCGCAGATCCTGTCCGTTTGAGCAGGGCTCGCGGTCGGTGCCGCCGCGGGCCGTGCCCGTTGGAGACGGAGGGCCGCCTGTCTGGCAGCAGCCGCTGTCGGTGTTGGACAGCATGGGTGATTTCAGGAGGGGAGAAAACACACAGACACAAGTAATCGTCGATTCCCTAGAAAATATGGGAGAATATGGGAATTGGGGGGGAAGGCGAAAACCCAGAACATCTAGGACAATATGGGGAATCCTGTCATTTGTGCCTATCTATTTGTGTGACCCAGGGCCCCTTCATTATTGGGCATCGTATTCAGCATTCTCCGTACCCGTATCGGTTGTCAAAGCATGTGCATTTGGACCCTAAGCATGCTTTCGAGGAGGTTGCAAAGCGTCTCGCTCCAATGCCTGGTGGGCTTGAGCGCGCGATGCGGCTGAGCACAGGAATCTCTTTACCTTGGGCCACGCGAGGAGGAAAGCCGTGCGCGCAGACAGGGCGCTGTGGATGGTCTCTGGCTCGCCGCGGTGGCCGTCGCCGGTGACATCCTGCTCGTGGGCTCGTCGCTCCGCGAGGTTCAAACCGCTGCTGCTGCTGCTGCTGCGCAGGCCGGCCTGGAGAGCGGCGCGGAGAGCACGCGGGAGCCCGTGGCCACGGGCGCCGAGGGCAGCGCCGCGAGCGCACGGAGAGCGGGGCGGCGTGGTCGCCGCGCGCGGCGTCTGCCAGGGGCGGCGCCGGCGCCCCCGCCGGGCGGCGGCGGTGCCGCAAGGGAGTCCCGCTGGGCACAGGCAGGCGAGCCAGGCAGGGGGGCCTGATCCGCCCCCCGAATTCCGTCTTCGGCGTCGGCTAGCGTCGATCAGCGTCTGGGGGTCGACGAGATCGCCCCGATGCAGCGTCGGTTCGCAGCGATCTGGCGTCGAAAAGCGTCGACTAGCGTGGGTCAGCGTCGCTCCGCAGGAGCCGACAAGATGGCATGGGAGGCTCGGAGGCTCCCATGAGTTGCCACCGAACCGCCACTGTGCCTGGGCTTGCGGATCAGAGTCCTCAGGTATGCTTCGCGGGGTCTCGTCGGAACGCTCTCGGGGGCCTCTGGGGGGAAGTTTTGGGCAGTTTTGGGGCCTCTTGGGATCCTCTGGAGGGTTTCTTGGGAGCCTCTTGGGGGACTTGGGGTTTCCGGGGGGCCTCTTGGGGGCCTCTCGAGGCCGAAGGCTCGAAATGTCCGCTCGGGTCCCCCGTCTGGGCGCCCTCTTGAAGCCGTCTCGGGGGCCTCTTGGGCCGTCTTGGAGGCCTCTTGGGCAGTCTTGGAGCTCTCGTGGCTCTTCGGCTGTCTTGGGGACATAGTGGGGGCCTCTTGGGCCGTCTTGGAGCGCATGGAAGCCGAACAGGCGAAAATGCCAGAATCACCCCAAAGCATCAGGAATCCAATTAGTTTTGCCTCTTGGGGCCCTCTGGGGGGTGCCCTTGCGGCCCCTTGGAGCTTTTCGGGGGGCTCTTTGGCCTTGGGGCAGCTTCGGGCCTTCTTTTGGACCATCTCGGCGGCCTCCCGAGGCTTTCTTGGTCCGTCTGAGGGCCCTTTTCTGGCTCCCGGACGACGCACGCGACACAGCCCAGGAGCTCCCGAGAGCCCCCGGAAAGCCCCGGGAGCGCCCGGGGAAGCCCGGGGTCCGGGCCCTCAAGAGCCTTACGGACCCTCTGCTCCGTGGCGGCCAAGAGGGGGGCGATGGCTATAGGGGTGTGTGTGTGTGTACATCATGGCGTGGGCTATGCGATGTCCCCAGAATTCATGGCGCCTCTCCTTATATCATTGCGTCCCTGGCTCCCCCTTGGGCCGCGCACGTGCCGCTGGCCATGACTTGCGACCCCCCCTCGTGGACGCCCCCCTCTTGACAGCTCCCGATCTACCTCTCAGGGCTGCCCTCTACCTCTCAGGGCTGCGTGAGCCTTGGGGCGCTTCCACTTCGTGGCAGAGGCGCGGTTGCGGATGAGACCGGCGAGAAAGAAGCGAGTTCTACAGTGCGGTAAGGAACGGAGTTGCGTAGGTTTCTGAATGTATGGTGGCGTTCTTGCCGCCTGAGGCCACCTGAGGCCCCGCCCGCCCGCGCCCTGTCTCCCCAATTAGGGCTGCCCGCGTCCCGTTTAGCTCTTGACCGCAGACCAAAATGTATGGTGGCGTTCTTGCCGTGGCCAGCGGAGGCCCGGCTCCCCACGACGGCCCAGACGAGGGCCCTCGGCTCACGTGCCAACCCCACAGCAGCCACCGTGGCAGGCGCCCGCCGGGCACCCTTCGAGGATCTCGGATCTCTCTGGAGGCGAAGGTATCTCTGTGGACAGCGGCTCTGCAGGAAAAAACACAAAAAACAAACAAACAAACAACACACATGGTGGGAAAACACACACACACACACACGTGGGAAAAACACACAGTCTGTGGGGGGAACAAAACACACTGTGGGAACAAACAAACACACACAGCGTGTGTTTTTGTTCCACCGTGTTTTTTTTTTGTGTGTGTGTGTTTTTCCAACGGAACAGAGCGGTGGCGCAGCAAACCCCGCCAGGCGGTCGCGATGGCAAAGGTCCTCAGGATCGGCATCGTCGAATCGAACCCCATCCCCATCCTCATCCCCATCCAGAGCCTCGGTATCCTCTTGCACCCCAGTTGGGGACACACACACACACACACCTCGAAACCCGAAGGGAGCGGCCTATATCCCCATCTAGGGGGTCAATCGGCCATTGGGGCCCAGGCCACGTTCTTGGGGATCGGGGTCGGTTAATCGATGCCCACAGGACACCCTGTACGAATGAGTGGCACCTGCTGTCTTGCCCTCCGCACGCGGCGTCTGTGCCTGGTGGAGGTGTCAGCAGGCCCGGCATCGTGGCAAGCGTTTCGGGGTCCTCCCTGCCAAGATTATGGGGTCGATGGGAGTCGCACTTGGCCACCGCTAGTGGCGAGGTCGAGTGCGAGGGCCCATTCCACAATGCTGGATGAATGACGCGCGTGCAAGAGAGGCGTCGGTCGCGAAGGCCCGAGAAGAGGCTCTCGCCGAGGCCTGGTTGTCTCAGTCCCCTGCCTCCCGCTCCCCTCTGCTCGGCCGCCGCCTGCCGCTCGTTCCCTCCGTCGTCTGTCTGTCTTTGCTGCTTCCTCTCCCGGTCGCGTTCCTGCCTCCCCCCCTTTGCTCACCGAGCGCCTCCCACGACTCGCAGAGTGCCCGCTCGCAGAGGTCCGAAAGACACAGGCCTGCTGCGATGTAACTTGTCGTAATGGAGGATGACGATTAATACATGACCAGGGGTCGTGTTCACGCGGCGGCGCCCAGGATGACGATGAGAAAAAATCCGGCCGCGGGCTGGAAAACTATTTTTTTATCGATCTCTTCCAGTCAGAAAATTACGCAGAAATGCCAGACAACTATTTTTGTATCGTTCTCTCCTATTTCCCTACCTAGGCTCTGCCTAGAAGGGTTCTTACTCTCTTAGCTTAAAGGGGCCGGGCAGTGCAAGGCGCCCCAGGCGGTTCCCCCAGTCCCCTGGGAGCGGTTTCCCCCAGTCCCCTGGGAGCTTTAGCTTTAGCTTTAGCTTTAGCTTTAGCTTAGCTTTAGCTTAGCTGTAGCTTAGCTTTAGCTTAGCGTTTCGCTTAGCTTTTCGCTTAGCGTTTAGCTTACCTTTAGCTTACCTTTAGCTTAGCTTTATCTTAGATTTAGCTTAGCTTTAGCTTAGCTGTAGCTTAGCTTTAGCTTAGCGTGTCGCTTAGCTTTTCGCTTAGCGTTTAGCTTAGTTTTAGCTTACCGTGAGCTTAGCTGTATCTTAGATTTAGCTTAGCTTTAGCTTAGCTGTAGCTTAGCTTTAGCTTAGCTTTAGCTTAGCTTTAGCTTAGCTTTAGCTTAGCTGTAGCTTAGCTTTAGCTTAGCTGTTGCGCAGCTTTAGCTTTGATTTAGCTTAGCTTTAGCTTAGCTTCAGCTTAGCTTTAGCTTAGCTTTAGCTTAGCTTTAGCTCAGCTTTAGCTTAGCTGTGGCTTAGCTTTAGCTTAGCTTTAGCTTAGCTTTAGCTTAGCTTTAGCTTAGCTTTAGCTTAGCGTTACTGTTACTACTAATGCTGCTTTCCTAGGGGTTCCAACTCCTAGGTAGGGTTGCACAGGGATAATTTTTATTGAATCGTCATCCCGCATTACTCTTGCGAGCAGTGGAGCACGCTCGTCCGTGTGCTCTCCGAAGTCGCCCTCCAGGCCGCCGCCGCTCCAGGTGTGGGGGGCCGGCCTCGCGCTCCGGGCCCCGTCTCGGCGCCGGGGCTGCCGGCGCCGAGACGGCGCGCACCGCGGCGGGCGGCGAGGCTGCTGCGCCGCCCGTCGACGCTGGCGGTCTGTTGCGGTGAGGGGCCCGACCGCAGGAAGCCTTCCGCAGGAAGCCCAGCCCTGAGACCCCAGGGCGTCCGTGGGTTTTTGGAGCGGGAGCCACGCTGTCCATCGCGACGCCCTCGAGACCCACCAGGAGGCCCAGGGCACCCTGGGGGCAAGCAGGGCGCTCCTCGGCGCGGGCCCCCGCTGTCCATTCTGCCCCGTGGCCCCGGGGGGGGGCTGATCTCTTCGCGCCGTTCTGCTCCCTCCTCCTCCTCCTCCTCCTCCTCCTCCTCCTCCTCCTCCTCCTCCTCCTCCTCCGCTCGCCCGTGGGGCAGCAGAGGCCGCAGAGCGGCCCGCCGAGGCGCTGCCCCCCCCCCAAAAAAAAAAACACGGGACCCGGTCGGCCTGCCCGCGGCCGTCGCCCCTGCCGCCGGCGGCCCGCCTGGTGGCCGGCGGGTGCACCGAGCCTCGGGGCCGCGCCATGACTTACGTAGGCATCGCGCGGGCGCGTGCTTCCCAGAGGTCCAACGCATGGAACAGATCGAGACGGAAGCTGTTCGCAAGCGTCTCAGGATGCCGGGCCAGTCCATGGGCGCAGGTCGAGACTTCCGGGGAGTCCGTGTGTGCAAAACCGCGAGGCCGGACCTCTGGGTGTCTTTCTCGGCGAGGAGCAGCCTGAGGAGATGGAAAAGCAAATGGGGGAGGAGGAGGACGAAGACGAGGAGGAGAAAGAGGATGTGGACGTGGAGGAGGAGAACGTGGCACGAGGAGGAGGAGGAGGAGGAGGAGGAGGAGGAGGAGGAGGAGGAGGAGGAGGAGGAGGAGGAGGGAGGAGGGAGGAGGAGGGGGAGAGAGCACGCGCGGGACCGACGTCTGCACGGGGAGGGCGCGCCCGAGCGACGGCGGGCGACGCGCTCTCCCGCCTCGGCGGTGCGGCCTCGTTGCCGTTGTCGGTGCGGCCTGCGCCCCGGGCCTGGGCGGCTCGGGCGCGCCGGCCCGTTTCCGCGCGGCAGGGCGTGTGGGCCTTGCCGATGCCAGTGCGCACCAGTCGGGCCGGGCGAAAGGGGGGGATTGGGAAAGGGGGGGTTAGGATATTTGCTGCATGCAGCTGGTTTCGGCCTCACCGAGGGGCCCACGCCTCGATACATAACCGCCTCCGGCGCCGGGAGGCGCCGGGAAAATCAGCTACGTGAGCTGATTCTCAAACCCCCCCTTTGCTATCCCCCCCTTTCGCCCGACCCGAAGGGCGTGTGGGCCTTGCCGATGTCAGTGCGCACCAGCGGCCGGCTGCCTCCGCTACCGTTTTTCGCTCAAACCGTTCAGGGCCTTTGGCCTCGAGCTACGCACCTGTGCGACGCTCGAGCAAGAAGGATCAGCGATCGTTCATCCCGATTTCCATATCACACCCACGAGGGCGCCGAGACGGCCCAGGGCCGCCCCCAGACGGCCCAGGACAGCCCCAACACAGCTGAAAAGGGCAGACGGCCCACACAGCTTCCGACACGGCCCCCGCTGGTGTCCGCAGCCATCGGATCACAGAGGGGGCCCATGCCAAGAAGCACCCTGCTTGCCTCCAGGGTGCCTCCAGGGTGCCTCCAGGGTTTCGAGGGTTTTGCCACGGAAGGCGCGACGCTCCCACACCAGCAAATCCATGGAGGTCCTGGGTCTTGGGGTTGGGTCTCTCGTGGAGGGTTTCTTGTGGACTAGCCTCCACTGTACAAGCCTTTGTCTGAAGCGAGAGTTACACCCTACACGTCCAGACCCGAGGAGGCCCGTCGGAGCGCACCGTCGAGCGCAGGACGGTGGTCTGGCGAGCGCGAGCGGCCGGGTACCCGTATTGCAAAAGGGGCCAGATTCACGGACGCCGTCTCATATATTTACGCCACAATCATCCAAGGCATCTGCAAACGCGGGTCTTTCTTGTCTTTCGTTTTTTGTTGTTGTTCTCTCTCTCTCTCTCTTTCTCTCTCTCTCTCTCTCTTTTGTTTCTCTCTCTCTCACACTCGTTCGATATTACCATCTTTTCTATCCTCCTCCCCTCCCCCAGCCTCCTTCCTCCCCCCCCCGCTTCCTCCCCCCCCTCTCCCCCCCTTTCCTCCCTCCCCCCCCCTCCCCTCCCCTCCCCTCCCCTCCCCTGCCTCCGCCGAGCGACCCCTCCCCTCCCCTCCCGTCCTCCCTCCTCCGCCCGGCCTCCGTGTCCGCAGCCTGCCCCCTCCCGCCCACCTCCCGGCGCCCGGCCGCATGTGCTCCCCGCGCCCGCCCGCGGGGCGGGGGTCCCGGGAGCCATGTCGACCTCGACCATCGAGATCACGGAGGGCATACAGGAGCCCGCCAAGGGGGACGGGGGAGGCGAGGAGGAGGCATGGTGGGGGACAGGGAGGGGGAGGAGGGGAAGGGTGGGGGGGAGCTGGGGGAAGGTAGGAATGGAGGGAGCGAGGGAGCGTGGGAGGAGGAGGAGGAGGAGGAGGAGGAGGAGGAGGAGGAGGAGGAGGAGGAGGAGGAGGAGGAGGGGGAGGAGGAGCAGCAGTAGGAGGAGGAGGACTTGAGGTGATGTGGCTTTTGGGGCGCCTGAACCCTGTTGGTGAGCCCAGCTATCTGGTGTCACCATCTTGTAGGGCACGGTGGCCTGTGTTGCCGCGCCTGGAACGGCTGTGGCCGAGGTTCCCCCCTATTGGGCCACCTAAGCGGGCCAGATGGGGTGCCGCGCCTGCAACGGCTGTGTGACCGACTCGGGGCCACCTGAGCAGGCCAGAGGGAGGAAATGGGTATTTTGTGCCTGGGGGGGCGCGATTTGTCCGCCCAGGCGGCCCGTGGGGCTGAAGCCCCACTGTCCGTGTCACGGAATCCGTGCGCTATTTGGGGGCTGGTGAAACCTTTATTCAATATTCACACTCGCGCGTCTCATTACATCGCCCACAATATGACAGCGATATGATGATGGACGCTCCGATGTTGTTTTTATGAGTGAGAGAGAGAGAGAGAGACTATGCATTAGTACAGAGCGTAGAAGCAGCAGGAGGAGGAGGAGGGTGAGGAGCAGGAGGAGGAGGAGGAGGAGGAGGAGGAGAGGAGGAGGAGGAGGAAGAGGAAACGCCACCACGGCAGGACCGGACCAGCCGGATCGGGCTGAAGAAATGCATGATGCAGTTCGGGGACGTAGATGCTTGCCACATGGGAGACCGAGCAGTCATGGGCGACCGGTTCACGGAATTTCCCATTGTGCGCTTCAAGCCAGGGTCTCGGCTGCTCGCAGGGGACGAGGAGGACGCGGGACGAGGAGGAGGAGGAGGAGGAGGAGGAGGTGGGTCAGAGGGAAGAGGAGGGAGGAGGAGGAGGAGGAGGAGGAGGAGGAGGAGGCGGACGTACAGGAGAGGAGAAGGAAGGAGGAGGAGGATGATGATGAGGAGGGAAGGAGAGGATGAGGAGGGAAGGAGGAGGAGGAGGAGGAGGAGGAGGAGGAGGAGGAGGAGGAGAGGAGGAGGAGGGAAGGAGGAGGATGAGGATGAGGAGGGGAAGGAGGAGGAGGAGGAGGACGAGGAGGAGGAGGAGGAAGAGGAAGAGGGGGAGGAGGAGGAGGAGGAGGAGGATGAGGAGGAGGGGAAGGAGAAGGAGGAGGAGGAGAAGGAGGAGGAAGAGGAGGAGGAGGAGGATGATGATGATGATGATGAGGAGGAAGAGGGGGAGGAGGAGGAGGAGGAGGAGTAGGAGGAGGAGAAAAAAAAAACGAGGAGGAGCCAACGGAGGAGAAGGGAGGACCAGAGTGGATCTAGGATGCACCAACAAAGTTGTAGTGCCCCCTCCCCTCCCACGTCGCCTTCGCACAAGTCCCTGCGGGCATTCCCTGCCTCTACGGGAAGCGCCCCTATGAACATCGAACTCCCCTCAGCGAGAGCACGGTACCGACCCCAAGAAGCGCGCCCCGCTCTGCAAAAGGGCCGCCCTCCATCCGTGAAGCGGATGCCCCACGTTAGAAGGCGGATCGTCCATGTTGAAGACGTCTCTGTAGTTTGTGCAATTTTGAACTCCTGGCCGCACATTCGGATGAAGTGCCAAGCGGAAGCCCCATTTTGAAAAGGAGCCGCTGTCCGTCCTTATGACCGTTGCGCGTTTCTAAGACAAGTTTGTGCGCGGCGCTATGACGAGCACCACATTCTGAAAAGGAACCGCCATCCATCCTCGTGATTACTTTTTTGTTTGAGGTCAAGCGCCCTTGGTCAAGCTGCCACAATGATATGACATGTAAACAAAGCGGGTGGTGCACTCACGTATTGAGGCTCTTCTGAAGGATTTGTAAGCCGGCCATTACAGAGGGGACCCATGCCAAGAAACACCCTGATTGCTTCCAGGGTGCCCTGGGTTTCTTGGGTTTCGATGGTTTTGCTGTGGAAGGCGTGACGTTCCCACACCAAGAATCGATGGACGTCCTGGGGTCTCAGGGTTGGGCTTCTTGTGGACGGTTTCTTGTGGAAGGGCCCCTGCTGTAGCCCTTGTGGCTCCATTTCGAAGGCCTCGTGATTGTTGAAAGCTTTGAAGAGCGATTGTGCGCGGCGCTACGGCGAGAGCCAACCTTTGTGAAAAGGAGCCGCCGTCCATCGCGGGGACTGCTGTTCGAATGCCCTACGGCGAGCGTGCGCGGCCCTCCGGGGGAGGGACAGATTTTGGAGCCATCCGCCCTCCGTCTTGTGACCGATGGAAGTTGCCGAGACGAATTTGCTCAGCGCTCTCCTCCTCCTCTTCCTCCTCCTCCTCCCCCTCCTCCTGTAAGACAGCAGTGCGTGTTCCCGGGATCAGCTTGACCCAAGTCGGCTGCGGCGCAGGCAGAGAGAGCAAGGCGAGACGAGAGATGGGAACAGGTGCTTGACTTCCAACACGCCCCCTCGCACGGAACTTCCGCTCCGTGCAGATCAACCGTAAAGCCTGCTATATAGATATGGGCGCGCGGGCATATCGGTCCCCCTGCTTGTCTTGAGAAGCTCATCATCTGAACTGCCCCACTTCAAACGTGGCGCGGCCTCGCATATGTATGTCTGCGTCTGCGCATGCAGCCGATCAATGCAACACGTGCACGCGCATTCTTTTCAAACCCCCGCAAGCTCAGTGAAGGCAAGCGCGAGCGACTGAGGCGTCCCCCAACCAGACACTGCCGACGCCCAATCAAATCACCCGCGCGCGGCCCAAGCCTCCGCCTGCCACGGCTGCTTTCAATCGAGTCGGTGCCAATTCAGTGGCTTGCAACGTATTTGGTTACATCGGTTTGGATTGTAACCGCCTAAGTCTCCTTGTTGTGAACCGTTTTGACGCGAATCCTTCTCTGCAGGATTTATATAGGAATCCTCATGTGGAGGATTTCAATCGGATCTTGCTGTGGAGGGTTTCAATCGGAATCCTTATGTGGAGGATTTCTTCCTTCCTCCTCCTCATCCGCTTCATTTATCCTCACCCTCCTCATCCGCCTACTTCTCCTTCTTGTGAAAGGTTTCACTAGGAACCCTGCTGTTGAGGATTTCACAAGGAATCCTTAGGTGGCGGCTTTCAGTAATAATATGTTCCTCGTCCGCCTCGTCTTCCTTCTCCTCCTCCCCCTCCTCATCCGCCCCATGCTGCTTGTTGCCAATGGATTCAATGGGAATCCTTTGAGAAGGGGGCATGATGAAGGGCGAAGAGAAGGAGCAGGTGGAGGAAAAGGAGGAGGAGGAGGAACACGAGGGGGATGGGGAACGCGACGAAGGTGAGGCGCAACACATTACTCACACAGCTGCTCGTGTAGCTGCGTTCACAACTAGATTTGCGAGTGACGCCTGGAAGCGGAGAGGAGCGGGCAGGATGAACAGGAGGAGGAGAAGGAGGAGAAGACGGGTGAGGAGGACGAGGAGGGTGAGGAGGAAGAGGAGGAGGGTGAGGAACATGACGAAGGTGAGGAGGAACACGGTACTCACAACACTAGGTGTGGAGCCGTGTTCACAATTAGTTTTGTGAGCAATGTCTCGCGGCGGGAAATTACTCGTAAATTTAGTTGTGGGGCGGCGTTCGCAATTGGATGTGTGAGTAACGCCTCGAAGTGGAGAGGGGCGGGCATAAGGAACAGGAGCAGGAGTAACAGGATGCGGGCGAGAAGAAAGAAGAGGAGGGCGAGGAGCATGGCGAAGGTAAGGAGGAGCATAGTACTCACAAAACTAGTTGTGGAGCGGCGTCCACACTTAGTTCCGTGAGTAAGTTCCCGTGGTGGGAGGTTACTCGTAAAACTAGTTGTGGAGCTGCGTTCGCACTTAGATGTGTGAGTAACGCTTCAATGCGGAGAGGGGCGGGCAGAATGAAGACGAGGAGGAGCAGGAGGAGGAATGTGAGGAGGAATAGGGGGAGGGTGGGGTGCATGACGAAGGTGCGCAGGAACACAGTACTCACAAAACTAGCTGTGGAGCCACGTTCACACTTAGTTTTGTGAGTAATGTGGAGCTGCGTTCACATTTAGATTTGTCGCTTCGAAGTCGAGAGGAGCGGGCATAATGCAGAACAGGAGGAGCAGGAGGAGGGTGAGGGTGATGAACAAGAGGATGGTGAGGAGCATGACGAAGGTGAGGAGGAGCACATGACTCACAATAGCAATGGTGGAGCCGCGTTTACCATTAGTTTTGTGATTAATGTCTCGCAACGGGAGGTTACTCGCAAAATTAGTTGTGGAGCTGCGTGAGGAGGGGGCAGAATGAAGAGGAGCAGGAGCAGGAGGGTGAGGAGGAGCAGGAGGAGGGTGATGAGGCGTGGAGGATCTCAATAGGAATCTCCTCGCGTCGAGGATTTCGATTTGAATTCTTCTGCGGAGGATTTAAACGCGAATCCTTCTTCGGAGGATTTCGCTAAGAATACTTTTGTGGAGGATTTCAATCGGAATCCTTCTGGGGAGAGTTTCGATCGGAATCCTTTTGCGAAGGCCGAACGACAGCGACAATTCCTCAGAAAACGAAGAACGAACAAAGTAAAACTATGATTTCGCGAGAACTTTTGGGGAGAGGGGCTAACAAGGTTCTCCCGGAAACCTTTTTTTTTTTTTTTTGGTTTTCGAGTGGTTTCGCTGTTTGTTTCACAACGTCGCTGAGTTTTTCGCAGGCGTCCGTGCGTTTTCGGAAACGAAGGGGAGGAGGAAGAGGAGTGGAGAAGAGAAGTATCGATGCCAGAGTCTTCTTCTACAACAAGGGAAAGCAGGGGAATCGATATGCGCACCCATAAATATGCATGTGTGCTGTGCTGGATACACGAGCCTCCCCTACAGTTCTCACTGGAATCACTTCTCGCGCGGGACAGCGACGTCCTCGATGCGCCTGCTCACGGCGGCGAGGACCTTTACAAGTTTGTCGAGGTTCTTTACATACGGAAAATCAGTAAGGACGCCGTTCAGGACATCGTCCTCCGATCGCCTCTTCGCTGACATCCATGGCGACCTGGATTTCCTGCCCTGCCTGTTGACGAGGAAGACGAGCGACCGCGCTTGCGGCGGCGGGACCGAGAACGGTCGCGCTGCTCCTGTGTCTCGTCACACCCCAGTGTTTCCCGCGAGCCACCCCGCGAAGGCATTGGCGGCGGTGGCGGCGGCAGTGCCGCTTTCCAAGCTCTGTCCGCTGGCACGTCTGGCCACGGCTTCGTGTGCGAGGAAGTGTACTGAACTGGAACGGCGCCCGCTAGGGCATCAGCCGGACTCTGATCCATCGTGTGGTGGCTCGCTGAAGTGAGGTGTTGCACCGGCTGGTACGTCTGCGTTCTGTCCAGCTGTTCTGGCCCTCCTTTCATTTCTGGCCTCTCTGCTTTGCTCTAGAAGACATTGCGGTCGGCGCAAGAAGGGCATCGCTTGAAAGCGAAAACCACTTCTTCGGAAATATCCTGCGTTTCTATAGCCGGGCACCGGAACGTAAACCTCTGAATCGAAATGCTAGGGATATGAGCTGTCATAATTTCGTATCGTGTGGTGTTGGGAGGCTGAATGATCATGCTTGCTTACCACACACAAGTTAATTTCTTTGAGTTCGTTTAAACGCGCATGTTCGGAAAACTTCGTTCCGAGATCGGCGCAATTGTTTGCGCTGGGCACCTTTCCCAACCGAGCGCGAGATGAACGGGCTGGGTGCTGCGCGTGCATATACTTAATATCGACGTGCTTGAACTTTCCTAGCCCCAAGCGGGAGGCTATCGCTATCCCTGCGGACGAATCGCATTTAACCCGCAGTCTTACGGACACACCGAC